TAAGGAGCTGGTTGAATGGACATGGGGAATCAGGGGTGGAAAGTAGCAGTGTGCTGTCACAGTATGGGGAGAGGAATTAGAGTCACATAACAATGTATGTATAAATTTTTGTATAGGAAAAGATTTTTAAAAAAAGGAAGTCAGAGAGGTGGGAGGACAGTATTAAAAAAAAAGTCAACAGTGTCGAGCATAGCAGGCTGATCAAGTAAAATGAAGACTGAAGAGAATCCAGTGGATATGGCAGTTAAGACACCGGTGACCAGAAGAATGATTATAAAAATTAACTCTAGTATAGTCTACTCATGGGATAATTAATATTAACATGTTTCGCACATGGGAAAGACACCAGACTGGAGTGGCTTATAGTGAGAGAGGGAAATGAGGAAGTAACAGAAGTGACTGCAGAGTGTTCCTTACTCCATTCTCCACAAAGTAATACTGTTATGGATTGAATTGTGTCCCCCTAAAATGTGTGTCAATTTGGCTAGGCCATGATTCCCAAGTACTGTGCAATTGTCCACCATTTTGTCATCTGGTGTGCTTCTCCTATGTGCTGTAAATCCCACCTGTATGATGTTAATGAGGCAGGATTAGACGCAGTTATGTTAATGAGGCAGGACTCAATCTACAAGATTAGGTTGTATCTTGAGTCAATTGCTTTTGAGATATAAAACAGAGAAGCAAGCAGAGGGACAGGGGGACCTCCTACCGCCAAGAAAGCAGAGCTGGGAATACAGCATGTCCTTTGGACCCGGGGTCCCTGCACAGAGAAGCTCCTAGACAAGTGGAAGATTGGTGACAAGGACCTTCCACCAGAGCCAACAGAGAAAGCCCTCTCCTGGAGCTAGCGCCCTGAATTCAGACTTCTAGCCTCCTAAACTGTGAGAGAATAAAATTCTCTGTTAAAGCCATCTACTTGTGGTTATTTCTGTTACAGCAGCAATAGATAACTAACACTTTCAGCTCCATCCCTCTATCCACAGTACAAGACCAGTCTCCAAAATTCTGGATTCACTTTTTTCCCCTCTGCCAAATCACTGCTACTTAAATAAAAACATATCCAGGAAGCTTCCTAACCCCTCACAACTCTGCCTTGGTTTGTCAGTACACTAATATAGTAACTTTACAGTTGGTGCTGCACTGTTAAGCCACTTAGTGGGTGGGTGTTCTCAAACCAATCTGCAATTCAGAACCATGGTAGGCTCCCTAATGCATCCCAGAGTGCCCATTATTGAGCTCAGTACATTACGGGTGCTCAAATGTCATTTGGGCAAGATGTTTTTGTCTGAAAACATAAATGACAAAGCATCATGGAGGCTGTTTTGAAGTCAGAGTTGGCTTTGATAGATCAATCCAGGGATACACATACTACCTAGGAAATGAAAGTTATCATTCACTGAATCCTTTTGAGTTCAATTTAAAGTATCATTTGGGTTACAAAGGAGAGAGAAACAGGACAGGGTGATTCAGGAAATATACTTTCCAAGGAAATGATTCAGAGAAAATGCACGAGAAACTGTTGGCAGAGGACTCCTACTGTGCCATATAGATGAGTTTTGAAATTAGCAATCTGTTAGATTAGAACCTGAATATTTACAATGTTTCAAACCTGAGTATTAATCCTGAATAATATTCTAATGTACTCCTGAATCGAGAAGAGACGGAATGACATTCAGTAGTGTTTCATTTTAGTATGTAGTAGTTATAGTTCTATCTTTCTAACTCCCCCAACTGAAGGAGGAAAGAGTTATATGTGAACAGTATCAACAATGAGCCCATGTTTCTCAACATGTTCCTTGGGACCCATAAGCCTTGAAAAGACATTACCCACTCTGGCTGGATTCAGCTTCCCTCTGCCTGCAGCTCCTACCATCAGTGGTCTTTGACTCCCCTCTTCTTGCCTCTGAGGCTCCTTTCCCCACCTAGAAAAGGGGCTAATAGGACTTCTCCATCATATGCCTCAGAGGCAGACTCCTGCTCTGGTGGACTGGGAGGGCTGAGAAGTCCCAGCCTGGGAGCTCATGAGATTCCCACTTGATCCCAGGATTAGAAAAAGGAGGGCTGGGCTGGAAACAGCTGTACAAAGGGTCCACCAGTTGACAGCACTGGTCAGCTGTCTCCTCTTGGCCTTACTGCAAGGGCAAGTGGAGGACCCACCACCTCAAGTGTGTGGGGCCAACATTAGGCAGTCTCTTTATATGGACAGCAGTCCAGAAGACTGGCTTCCTGGGAACAAAAAAGCCAGTCCCAGCTTGCCTGAGTCAGAAAAGAAGCAACTTGCGTAAAGATAGTGATGCAGTGTTCTCCTAGTGTGCAGACAATGGGGTTTAAAAAAAAGGCACCAGCACTCTGCCTCTTTGAATTACAAGCCAAATTGCTTTAAAAACACACTTCCACTACTGTTTTCACACAGTTTATTCAGAAGTTTAAAACTTAAAATGTGCCATTTTCCCCTAAAACAAATCATCCCCTGCCACTCCCCAACACACACACAGACTCAACTACCACTCCAGGTACTTCTCCTTACCCGTGCTTACCACACACTCTTGCAACACACACAGGGGTCAAAACCTGACTATTTGGTAATACAAAAAGACTACAAAGTTACACAAAAGAATCCCATTTACTTCCTTTTCACTAACAGGCTATGAATGAAAGATTAACGGGCAAACACATGACCTTCATCCAAAGTTAACCTTCCCTACCATTCTTTTTTCTTCCTCTAAGATGTAAGCTAGGACATACCTTCCTCTCAAAGCTGACTTGACAACCTCAAGACTGGCAGAAAGCAGTCTCCCAGCTGTCGCTTGGCCGTGACTCTCTGCAACAGGCAAAGTTACCAACGCAGGTGCAAATGATGCTTTAAGAGTTATCAAAACTTTAAAAAAAGTAATAATGCATTAAAATGCAGCCTCCACACTTTTCTGACACAGCACAATTCCCCTAGAGGTGGTGGCAGCTGTGAAAGAGAAGGCACTTTGTGCTAAAATTCAGAGGGTCTTCGTGAGAGAAAGCTGCAGCAGAGGCCCAAGCTGCAGGAGACCCTTTAGAGTGGGGAGGAGTATCCCCCAGGAAGGCATCTGCAAAGTAAAAAAATTTCAATCATGATTCCAAGGCAAAATGGTTAGTTAAAGTTGGGGGAGGAGAAATACCAAGAGAAGACAAAACACAGTTGCACCAAGGATTGAGGGCTCGGCAGCCGGCTCTGCACTTTCTACTGGGCTGGCTCCTTCACCATTTCCAAGGAGGTGTGGGAGACTTTGCAGGAGCAGGAGCAGCACCTCAGCCAAGTGTCCCAGGCTTCCTGCCTCTGCCTAGGCTCTCCTTGTGTGAAAAATGAGTTCTTGTTGGCAACACTTGTGGGTACTGCTGGACCGCGGCAACTCGCCTTAGGGATTTTCCGATGCAGCCGTGAAGAAAAAGTTAGGGTTTTCCACATGATCCAGGACTCCTTGGCAATATCCAGTGGCTTTTCGAGCCTTGTAGAGCAACAGTGGACCAAGCTGGTACCCCTCCATCAACACTCAGAAAAGCAGCATGAGCATTTTAGATGGGGAGGAGGGAATAAATCAATGGATTGAGGGTCTTTATCCTAGTACCATAAATAAAGTGCACCATGAATGGAGGCTATAAAAAGAGCCACTCGCCAGAGGCCGAGGTATGGGGAGAAGCTACCACTGCCACCTCCTCAGAGGATGGTGGATCATTTCCTTCAGTCAGAATGCTGGCTGCTTTATTTTCTTAGTACTATTATTGCTTTATTTCCATAGTACTATGGGACTTTAGGTAGTTTAAAAAAAGAAAATACTTGGTGGGCTTGGCGTATAACACATCTCAAAATCATAGGAATTGGCTGCTATTCGATGAGTATACGTTACAATCCCAATGATGTTGGATGATGGCTGTTTTTCCCCTTCATTCTGATGAACTTAGGAAATCGTAAGTTTGTTTCTTGTTTTCTTTTGAAAACCTATCAAATTGGCTCATGAGGCTTCTAAAGAAGCAGGACAGCTATATATAGCTGATGTAGTAGAAATAGTTGTCTTTGTTCTATAAGTTTTCAAATGCATCATGGAAGAGAATCCACTTACTATCACAATTCGGGACACTTTACCATGACAACTGGTGAGTTCCGTAAAACTTCTTGGAAGCTCTTTCAAAAGTGTGTAAGAGGAAAACTGTGATGTTGTACGAAAAACTCTGCTCGATTTAAGATTCCATGTCAAGAGTACTATTTTGCTGCTTTCATGTAGGAAGGTATTGCCCCCCGAGCAGTTAGGCCTTCAAAGCGCTTGTACGTGTAATTGATGAAGACCCAATCTTTGTTCTTGTAGTCACTCTCGGGGTGATTACTTGTCGCCACTGGGAAAGAAACAGATGTGAGAGTTGATCTACTGCCTTACCCCGACGGACTACTCAGTACTGAAGACGTGACATTCTGAAGACCATACCGCAGTTTCTATGTGGGAAAAGTTATTTTTCACTCCGAGAATTTTTTTTACATTTGCTTGACTATATTTTTTGAACGTCATATTTCTTCACAAATATTTTTTAAAGTTTTGTTTTCCCATTCCTGTCATTTTTTCCCATTCCTGTCAATTTAATAAATAACAAACTAATCTTTGTGACCTACCCAACCAGCTGAGCAGTCTAAATATGGGATTTTTATTCATTTTCCATTCAACAAGGCCTCACCACTACCCAGCACTAGCACTGGAAAAATACTTACAAAGAATCTGAAGAAATGAAGTTCCTCTCCATGTTCTCTACCCTGATTTGTAAACATCACCCAAAAACTGGGGGAAATAATGTGCTTATAAGGCAACAGAAGGCGGTATTGGTGGTATGATTACCTGTTGGCTTAAGAATATCAGATTCTGGAAACTCATCAAAGTTTGAAGTATCATCAATGCTTTTGATTTCAATAGATATTGCAGCAGGTCTTTCTCTGCCAAGAATAGACATGCCAAAAATTACCATGCTTAATAAATATATGGATCATACTAACCAAGTCTATCTCCAAAAAAGGATCTCTGGTTTGACATGGGGAAGACTGTTCACCAGCAAGTAGTATTTCTTTTGTTTAAAAAGCCTGTGATCCTGTCAAGCTGAGCCAACTGACTACATACAAACTAACAGAAGTAACTCAATTATGCATACCCAGGAAGAAAGACAGGGATAATAATGAGAAACTAAAATCCAAAGCTACTATACTCCCTCAACTGCCTGCCCTGTCTGCTAAAAAGAGAAACTGGACCTCTAAGTGTTCCCTCATCTATGGCTCTGCCCTTCCACTGGAGGTGCCAATGAGTAGGAGGGTAGCTAAAAAAGCAGCAATAAGGATGTAAAGATAAAAATCACAAGGATGCAAATCAACATGGTTATGAAATAAATGGCAACTTCATCTTCTGTTCAGCAACCAACAAATGCTGAGTGAGAAAGTCCGGGACCACAGCAGGCAGTCCAGGCTCTCATTGCCATTGGCAGAACTCTACCACCGTAACAATTTTCCTTCTCTGTGTCTCTATCTCCACTACCCTCTATGCTACCCCCAACCCCAATCCTTCTTCCACTCCCTTTCTTCCTTCTCGATCTCCCAGTGATAGCCCCCAGCCTGTGGGCAGGAAGAGCCTTGCTAATGATCCCCAACGACAGAGAAACTGTGGAATTCTAGAGAAAAGCAAGGACAACAGGCTTCTTAGATGCTCCCTTCACCGTGAAACCCACATCGCACTTCACTCTGTAAACAGCTGCTGGCTTCAACAGACCCCACGGCACATAGGTGACAGGAAGCCCAACTCCCAATCCTGACCATGAATGAATGAGAATCAGGAAAAGACATAAATTCCTAAGAAGCTCTCTTCCCTTACTTGGCTTGACAATAACAGTGCTTCCAAATTAGTATTAAGCAAACTATAGACTTTCTGAAATAATCCTGAAAGCTTTCATATGGATATACCTGATATGTTCCCAGTCAACACCTTCAAAAAAAGAATTACTTTTGATTTCCTCAACTCCAGGGGCTCCAATTCTATGTTCCCATTCACAGCAGAATCTGGAAAAGACAGAGTTCTTTCAGCAAACTTCAAGCAGTCTCTTTAGGGAAAAAAAAAAGGAATAATACCTTTTAAAAGGCAGCAAAGCAGCCCCGGTGGCACACTGGTTAAGCGAAAGGTCAGTGGTTTGAAACCACCAGCCGCTCCACAGGAGAGAGATGTGGCAGTCTGCTTCTGTAACAGTTCACAGCTTTGGAAATCCTATGGGGCAGCTCTACTCTGTCCAACAGTGTCACTATGAATTGGAATTGACTCTATGGCAACGGGGTGTTGTTTCTTTTTTTCTTTTTTAAAGCAGGGGGAGGGGCAGGAGTAGGAGGAAGGAGTGGACAAACTCAAGAGATACTGAACGTTAAAAAAAAAAAAAGATTCATTCAAGTCAGAAAGCCTGGGTCGGGGGTATTCTCTGACCGATACCTCAAAATTAGATCCTTGGCTTTCTCAGAGATGGGAACTTCTGGAGGAAAAGTCAAAGTTTCTTTCCAGTTCATCACCTTCTTATATGTCTCTTGAGGGGTCTCAGAACAGAAAGGTGGGTAGCCTGTAATAAAAAAGGAATTTTGGAGGTTTTATACCCTAGACCTTTGAATGTGACTGAGATTATTCTCCTTAATACAAATTTATATATCTTTTTAATGGCTACTGGATACCTCTATATGGCCTTCCCTCCATGACATGGACAGGATTTCCATCATCCCAGAAAAATCTAAACCAACCTTTTATTTTCCCCCAAACTCCTAAACCCAAAGCGAGTCTCTGGTACTACTACAAAGTCAGCTAACAGCTGGAGCTGGGGAGAGAAAGAAGGGCAGAAGTAGAGCTGCAGATGTAGGAATAACTGTGCCCAAAGATTAGAAATGAAAGGATGAAAAAACATCATTATTAAGAAAAGACTCCATCCTAAGGATATCCTTATACGGGTAAAGTGCTGAACAAGCTGAGTCAGAAGAAAAGTACAGGTTTTAAAAGAGACCACCATGCCTCTTTTTGAGAGCTCTAGGCAAGAGGATAAGCACTTACATACAGTATTACCCCATCTGCCCTGCACTCAGGGTATGCCCAACTCCACAGGCATCCATCCAATGTTCCTAAGACAATACAGCCAGATACCACACTCAGTCATCCACACAGGTTCACTCGGTACTACCACGGATATACTCATTCTAGTACTCACTGGCAAATGGCCACCCCCACAGATACGTCCCCTAAATACAAAGACACACCAGTCAAACAAGGAGAGAGGTTAGAGGGTTCCATGCTTTGAAGGCTTTCAGAGAGGAAGGGGACAGCAAATTAGAAATGAAAACTGAGGAAGGCAATGCCCAGTTAAAGTGTTTGGCATACAATGGATGCCTAATAAATGCCAGTGAATAAAAAAGGTGCTAGATGGAGAGGAAGAAAGAGCAGATGAAAGAAAAACATGATGAATGATCGGCAAAGCAACCACAGGATGCCAGTAAGCCTGAGAATACAGTGGGATACATTTGACTGCCAGAGTTGTCTACCTAAGAAACTTCGCTTTTAAAGGCAAGAGAGGAAAAAGTGCTTGGTCTACCCCCAACTGAAATGGACTCTAATTATCAATTTAGGGGTCTTCCCTGGCCGCACAGAAAAGTCCTCTTAAAGCATGCAACTCACCGATCAGCATCTCATACATGATCACCCCAAGCGACCACCAATCACAGAGCTTGTTGTACCCGGTCTGCATGAACACCTCAGGAGCAATGTAGTCAGGAGTGCCTACTGTGGAGAAAGCCTGAAACACGTACCACACGTTAGAGACACCCAGTCAGGCAGAGGGTGTTCAGAGTTCCATTTTGCCAAGACCACCTGGGGATACCCACAACCTAAATAAGCACGACTGCCCAGTAGCTAATGCCAAGCTGTTTTGCCAGGGCACTTTCTTTTTCCAATCGCAACAATGAAGGTTTGTTACTGAAGTTCTACCTAAGCACAGCCAAAGACCATAACTTACTAGGTCAAATCTCTATCATAACAACTAGTACCATAATTTACTGAGCACTCATTGAGCCGGGCTCTATACTTGGAAATGTGCATATAAGCCTATTTAATCCTGACAAAACTTCTGCAAGGAAGACCTTATCAGGCTAATTTTGCAGATAAAAAAATCTGATGCCCAAAATGGCTGAAGGATTTGCCCAAGGCCTCAGAACTAGTGATCAGAGCCAGTTTGGAAATTAAAATTTTGCTCCAAATCATCCCTCTTTCTACCATATATACTCTTTGATTTGAGGAAATCATAAAGGGAAGCTTTCTTATTAAAAGCTAAAGTTACATCCTAGAAGTTAAAGGTTTATAAATGTCTTATCTACCAAACTTATCACTTATATAAATCGCTCTGAGAGGCATATTTTCTAAACTCCAGGAATTTACTCTCATAGACCAGGGCTACAAAACATTAGGAGGACATATAATTAAAGCCTTCTAATGTGTTAAACATATGAAGTTTTACCATGTGTAAGGCTCTAATCTAGGTGCTTTATATGTTACACATATTTTAAAATTAAAAACTAGGGCTGTGTTGTCTTTTTAAAAATATTTATTACAAAATATTACAAACATACAGAAAAAAAGCACAGACAATAAACATATATGTACCACTACCTGTATCAAAGAGAGGTTAACAATCTACCATATTTGTTCCTGATCATTCATCTTTTAAAAGAAAAAAAACAAAAAACGACAGAAACAAAGTTCTGCCCCATACGTCATATGTCCCCTCTTCCTTCCCCACAGAGGTACACACACTCCCCTGAAGTTGCTGTGCTGGTCTTGTATGAACAGGCTCATAAATAACATGTTACTTTTTCATATATTTAAACTTTTAATGAAGGGTTTCATACTGTAATGCACCATTCTATAATGCTACAATATGATTTTGGGATTTATTCATGTAGCTCTAGTTCACTCATCGCTCTTCTGTACTACGCTATTCTGTTAAATGAGTAAATCACAATTTCTTTATCCATTTTCCTGTAAATAGACACTTATGTTGCTCCAATGTTTCACTATGACAAACCTGAAAAAACAGTCCTGTAACATCTCCTTGGAAGTAGTACTGCTGGATCTTCAACTTAATTAGATATATCTTCCAGTTGTCCTCCAAAGTGGTTATACCTATTCAAACTACCCTAGTGGGGGTGAGCTCCTAATACTCCAAATCTTGCCAACACTTGGTTTTGTCAGATTTTAAAATTTTTACCAATCTGATGAATATGAAATGGAATCTCCTTGTCGTTTGAATGTGTATTCTCTTATTTCTAGGTTGAACACATTTTCATATGTTAATTAGCCATTCAGGTTTCTTTTTTGTGAATTCCTGTTCAAATCCTTTGCCTATCAATTTTTTCAGTTGTACTACCTTCTTCTTTTTGATTCATGAGATTTTACTGTAAATTAAGAACACTAATCCTTTGTAGTTTTATATACTGCAAATATCTTCTTCCAGTCTGAGGCTTATCATTTTTATTATGATTCTTTAAATGACATAATATTTGTCATATACCAAAAAATGTGTAATTTATGAAATTATGAAGTAGAAAAATGAAAATGAATACCCATGAGTTCAAATGAAGAACCAAAATATTACCAATACCACTGAAGCTAACGTGTATTCCTCCCCCGTGCCATTCCCCTGGCCGCTCTTTCTAGCCACTGTGCTGAATTTCATGTTTATCATCTTCTGCTTTGAGAAAAACTTAATTTTGCCACCTGTGTCTCTCTAAACGATATTTTAATTTTGCTTGTTTAGGAACTTTATAAAAATGGTATCATTCTATATAAAGTCTTCTGCTATTTGATTTTTCCCTTCAACATTGTTTCTAAATTTGATCCATGATGTCATGCATACCTGTAGTTCAATTATTTTCACTGCTGTAAAATATTCTATTCCACAATATAACCATTTTCCTGTTGACAGATACTGGGTTATTTCCAGTTTTTTGCTATTATTTAAAAAATGCAATGAACATTCTCATACATGTCTCCTGGTACATACGTGCAAGTTTCTCCAGGGCCCATGACCAGGAATAGAATTGCTGAGTTGTAGCATGCACCTGAACTCTGGAAGGCAATGCCAAAGTAGTTGCACCATGTAGTTGTCTTTTCATTTTATTTATGTCTTTTGATATACAGAAGTTTGTCTTCCTTTAACGTAGTAGGATAAATCAAGTTTTTATTTTACTGTTTGTACTTTTTGTATCTTATTTAAGAAATCCTTCCTTATGCTAAGGTGAGGTCATAAAGATATTGCCTTATATTTTCTTCCAAAACTTTTTAAGTTTTATTTTCCATCTAGAATTTACTTTTTGTGAACACTATAAGGCAGGAATCCATTTTTTTCCATAGAGGTAACCGTACATTGTTTTCTTTTAGATACAAATATTAACATAAATATACTGTTTTTCTTAGAGCTTTAAAGTCTGACACATGGATTGGGCCCTCCCCGAGACAAAGAAGTATTTTCATCCTAATCATAAATGTTAGGAACTACAGACATTCTTCAATTTAGAGACTAGGCTTATTCCAGCAAAACTGAATGTTAAGTAAATCCTATTTGTTCAAAGACTTCTGTTATAAAACCAGAGATCTATCGCCACAGGAAAATAATTCCTTCAAGATACTAAGATATTAAAAAACTCTTGTACATACATAAAGTAAGCCAACAACATGGTCAAAACTGTGATGTAAGAGTAGGTGATGCTCTCACTCTGGGAACTGGAGTCCCTCCATAGGGGTGCACTTTCTTTTCATTTCACTTTCAGTACCGGGTTGTCTTTTCTAATCTAGGGACTGCCCCTCCCCAAACCTCTGTCTGTTTTCCATACCACGGTTTCCTCTAACTCCAAGCTCTTAATGCCTCAAATCCTGTACCCTTCTTTCTCCTTTGTTCTCTGGATATTTATAGTGTCTACTAGAGCTGCACTCTAAAACAGCTTTCTGGTTTGTTAATAGTCATTTCAACCACATGATGTGCTCTAGTCTTATCACTTCATTTCAGAGATTTAGGGGAAACAAAGCATTTTAATTCCTACTTAATCACTTCTGTAATTCTACATTTTAAAAACAAAAAAAATCTGACAACGGTCAGATGCCCATGTGTACTTCATCCCTCATCTCTGTGGTGTAATAACTTAAAGCAGACTCATACCCATTTCCTAATCAATTACTGGGGCCTAAGGTTACTCAGGACCACACAGCTATTTAAAACATTACAATATGATTTAAGCAGCCAAGGAATAAAGCTAAAGTCTCTACTTTTTCCAATGATTCGCAACAGACTGAAAAGTAATATGCTGGGTGAACAACTACATATGTTAGGTTTAACCTAAAGCAGTGAATATCTATTAAGCATTAACTAATATCAACCTTCGTCCTGGTACCAGCTGAATGAGATCACTTACAAAAGGCCAAAGGAACACAGCTAACTGACTTTTTGAAGACTGATACCAAACCTATCGCTATCAGGTCGATTCTGACTCATAGTGACACTATAGGACAGAGCAGAAGTGCCCATAGGCTTCCAAGGCTGTAAATCTTTATGGGAGCAGACGGTCACATCCTTCTCCCGCAAACCAGCTGGTGGATTCGAGCCATCAACCTTTTGGTTAGCAGCCAAGCACTTAACCACTGTGCCACCAGGGCTCCTTTGAAGATTGACAGGTGGCATTATTTTCTTCAAGTTTTATCAAAAGAGGTAATACAAGGATGACGTTAATAAATATATTTCCATTTCTACTAGACAGAATACAAAAGCAAGGGCCTTAATCACAGCCTGATGGCCTTAGCTTATTCAGATTTTTTTTAAAAATCTTTTTAATTATGAAAGCACATCTAATGTCAAACCTAGAAATGGTGAAATATCCTTCCTTGTAGACTTATAAGTAGTTCCTAGTTAAGTCTGATATGACCATTTGGTGCATGTCAAAAAGCACAATGCTTGTCCCAGATTATAAGGATAATTTAAGGTTAAGCTTAATTACCCCCAAAATAAATGTCAGTACACTAACCAAAGGTTAAATCCTGGTCTGCTTTAAAAAAAAAAAAAAAAAAAATTCATGAAAGATTCTTTTACTTTTTGTTACCTTTCAAAATAAATATAGACAAATATCAGTCTCCCAACAACGGAGGAGCTATTGTTTAAGGAACAGTCTCCCCAGTGAAGGGTCTCAATCTTGACTACACAGGAGAATCACCCAGAATCCTTTTAAAGCAAGATGCCCAGATTATACCCGAGTCCAACTAATTCAGAATCTCTGGAGGTGGGACCCAGATATTAGTTTTTAAGTTCCCCAAGTGATGATGACATGCAACCAAGGTTAAGAACTATTGCTCTATGGAGAGACATACTAGAAGCATGTGACCAAACTTGCTTCTGACTCTCTAACCCTCAATAAGCTGTGTAAACAGTTTTTCAATCATATACAGAATTTAGATGTTTAAAGGGTATCAGAGGACCTAAGTAAAGGAGACCGTGTTGTCACTAATTATACTAAACTTAAGTATCCCCAAGTTAATTTTGGAAAAAGACATCAAAGATTCATTTCAGTTACTGCACCACCGAACGTGTTCGGTTTAACTTAATGCCTCTCCCAGGGCCCAGGTCTAACATAAAAATCGTTAATACTCAAAGCATGGTCTGAGGCCCACTGATGGCCCTCAATTAAATTAAAAAAAAATATAAGCCCTTCCTTTGATTCTTTCCTAAACAATCCCAAAGGCTTCCATTTCACATATGAATGACAGTTACTTAGTAGCAACCTACTACGTGAGTTATTAAAGGTACTGATTTTTGATACTATAAATTAAAATTAACATGTTACTTGAGTTTATAGAGAACTCTAATTCAGTATTTTACTAAGAAGTCTGACTGAAACACAGTATTTGGCTGCCAAGGTACTAATGCATATGCAGATAAGAAGTGCCACAATTCTACACAATACGTTTTATCTATGTATGATCATCATTCTTGCTTTCTCATTGCTATCTGTTAGTTTAGCTTTAGTGTAATCAATTTCATTTGCTCTGGATTTCTGGCAAAGTATAAGTATGTAGTGACGCATATTTTTATTATCTCTGGCCAATAATTTGCCAACCACTAGACATTAGGAAATGTATACTGTACTTCAAATATGAACCAACTAATCAGCTATGGTTAAGAATAAAAGTTTGCCTAGATGGTGATATTTCACTGGTGAATTGGTACTGTTTAAATAACTTCCAACATACTATCAAGGTAAGTGCAATAAAAGTACTTATTTTTAAGCTTGTGGGGCATAATTTAATATCTGTATATACTCAAACACTCATAAATAATAAGGATTTCCCCTATATTTCCCTCCGATTTTTATCACCAATTTCTTTTTTCCACTGCAAAGTAGGAAAGTATGGGGCAGGAGAATTGAGGAGTCTTGACTTGCCTAAGTGGCTCAAAACTGTAAAAGTTTGAGAACCACTGATGTAAAGCTCTAAGTCGTACTTAGTTTCATTTTGAGAGTCCTCCAGCTTAACTATATAACTCTTTACGATGAATAAAATAGAGAAAAAGTAGAACAGGGAAGAAATGGGTTGTCACCAATGTAAAAGATCAGAATGAAGTCATACATTGAAAATGTCACGACCAAGGCAACTTATTATATTCTCTCCTTCGAAAGATCCCTTTTAGTGCTAACAACATAATGAGAGTGTTCTATTAGGGTAATCTCAAAAGAAGGGATATGCTGCAAACATTTATCAAATGCAAATTTATATACATATTTTTTTAACTTATTCATACTTGGTTTATAGCAGTTCAGAAACCACAGCTATTACTTACCAGCTGACGTCTATTTCTCTTCCAGGTTTCTGCTTTTCTTTTGGAATTCATATTCTGGAAAGCTAAAAGTAGAGAAAACAAGTTCTAATCGAAGTTCAAACAGAAATGGTTGGACTGTTTGTCCAGGCTCTGGTTCAAGCTACATGAAGTCTTGCTTTTCTGTCCATACAACAGTAACTTATCATGACACATTCATTTCCCAGCAAGTTAATAAGCCCAAATCAGAGACCCTTAAGTATTAATTTAAAGAATCATACAGGAGAGTTCTAATCAAATAGCACTTCCTAGTGGGTCATATAGCAAGGTAGGACACAGACAGGCTTAATAAGAATTACACGGAATTCAGTCTATATCAGAAATAAAGGTCCCAAAGTTGACCTAAAACATTCACATTTCCTCAAAATCACAGTCAAATTTCAAAGAGCAGTAATTGTTGTATTTCCAGGACTGCTGAATTTATGATACGTTATTTGACACAGGCTTCTCTAGGATGACCTGAAATGTTACTACATAGTTTCTATAGTTTGACAGTGCATAAGTGAAAGTAACTCTCATAAAGAAAGGTAAGGTTCTTTCTGCCGTGATAGAAACACCTAGGAAAAAATCTAGTCTGGAGCTGTTTCCAGGACTTCTACTTCTGCTCACCCCATATTCATCCCCAGTAACCTTCCCAGCAGAGCTCCAAATAAAGCTTATTCTGACATCTGCCTTAAACACACTCAGTAGCACTCATCTTGCCTCACTAGACATCACAAGTCAGTCAAACCTGGGAAGGTTATTTTTATTCTCTGAAGACTCATGCTGTGACTCTAATCTGTCCTGCTTAGTTTAGTTACCAGGGGAATGGCTCTTCTAGGCCCACTTAAGGGACAAAAAGGCCAACATCATTGTTAACACTTACTGAAATCACTTGGGAGGCTGTGGTTCAGATTCCTATAAAATTCTGTCCTATGTGCTTTTTTCAGTCCTGTGCAAAGGCCAAAGTCAGAAAGTTTCACATGGCCCTACAGGAAAAAATAAACAAGGTGACGGGTGGATGAACATTCACGGATGTGGAACAGAACATTAACTTTTCCAGGCTCCTCCTAGTATCCACTGTATCTCCATAGCCAAAGTATACTCCCTTTTTTCTTTTATTACAGGGAAAAACATAAAATAGAAAAATAGATTTTTAAAAGATCACCCCAAATCCTACCATACTAATAAAACTATTTTCATTTTTGCATGATCTTTGTCTCTGTCCAAATACACACTGTTAAACATAGCTGAATATAAGTTTACTACCTCTTAAACTCATTCAAATCGTCCTCTGTGTTTCTAGATGCTCTTCAAAATTACAATTTTTAATGTCTACACAATAGTCAATTGACTTAATACATTACTGTTTACCTAACCATACCCCTACTCCTGGATGTTTACTCTATTTTCAATTCTTTGCTCTCATGTAATGGATAACAGCCTAGGGAACCCATGGGGCAGTTCTATTCTGTCATATAGGGTCACTATAAGTCGGAATCAACTTGATGGCACACAACAACAACAATGTGGATCATGATCACCCCTGTGACAGAGTGGGCCTCTCTAACCATACCTGGCACAGAGGAAAGTCTTCATAAATAGCTATTAAATGATGAGTCACTGAACAAATCTTTGTTCATAAAGTGTTCTCTTCTTTTGAATTATTTCATTAGGATAAATTCCAAGGAGTAGACTATTCCAAAGACAAAGGGAATAAGCATTATTTCATGGCTTTTGATAAACGTTGCCATACAGTACTCCAATTATAAGCCTTTGACTTTATTCATTCTCTTCACAGAAAACTCACACCTCCTAGGAGCCAGGCACCATGGTCAGCGCTTCAAATGTGTTGTCTCGTTTGTAACCCTTAAGCCACACATAGCAGACTCAGACAAGTTAAATGGCTTGCTGGTGAAATGGTAGAACCAAAGCCAGCATGCTCTTTCCTCACAGGCCAGATCACTTCATCTCTCCAAACTTCCCTTATCTTATCTGGAAAATGGGGATAATAACATCTTCCTAGCAGGAATGATGAGAATTAAGGCATGTGAGGCTCCTAACATAGTGCCTGGCACACAACTAGCCCTAAGTAAGAGGGAGGTGTCCTTGGGGTGGTGACATTTGAAGTAGATGAGGTGGTGAAACAAAAACAAGCAGGAGGAATCCTGACACTCACAGATCTACACTGCTCAAGGTTACACAGTTACAAGTGGTGGGGCCAAGGTTTGAGCCCCAATGACTTCACCATCTAGGGTCTTTCTATGAGACCAGACACACGGCCTCTTTCAGGAATCCTCAGGCTTTAACTGAGCAGGGTACAGGAGCCCTGCTCAGATGGGTCAAGTGTTGTTTTGTTTTGAAAGAAATCCCATTAGGTTTGGCTGTATGTGTGCATGTGTGTGCATACGCGTCTGTGCAGCAAGGTAAACTGCCACACATACGCGTCTGTGCAGCAAGGTAAACTGCCACACAAGGACAGTTTTGAGCTTACTAACTTGGTATCATTTTTTTCAGATTTGCAAATAACTTGTTCTACAAGCAAAGAACAGAGTTTAATGTACAGTTCTCATGATTATATATTCTACCTGGATACCTCTAAGAAAGCAGTATGTCTTAAAAAGCAGCCCCTGGAGCAAATGCTATTTACATCTAGACATTCAGGGAATTCTGTAGTTATTCTGAGTAATCAGCAGAAACTCAACACTTCTTCATTTTCACTTCTACAATCTGTGTGACTGAACACATAAATGAGGTTGCTTATGAGAAGAATTTCACTACAAGTCCGAGTTAGCATATTGTGAAAAGCAAATCTCAACAGGGTCCCCCACTCCTCCTCAGCCATATTCAGTCCCCAAATTCTTGGCCTTCAATATGTTTATTGGACCAGAACATAGGCTACAAGGGAATAGCATTACAGCACCTAAGGCATCTAAACTCAAGACCACATAAAGTAGAGCTAGTGCTTTACTAAGAATATATAAAAAACAAAAGAATATATTGGGACTTAATGAGCAGAAAAATATTCTTATTTAGTATTCAGTTTTTAAAAGCAGAGTTGCTTTTAAAGCTATTTACTTTTAGGATGCTAATTTTATATAAATTACTGACACAAACAGAAAAAGTACTGATGCTATTACAACAAAGTAGTGGTTATCTTTGAGAGAGAAGATTATAGGCGATTTTTCTTCTTTACAATTGTTTATATTTTTCAAATTCTCTATGTATGTGCATTACTCTTATAATAAAGGAAAAAGCTATTAAACAGAAGAAATTGTCTGACAAGTCTCCTGCCCTCTTGAAACAGAAAGATAAAGATTTTCAAAGAAAACAGGCAGAAGAATTCAGGTAGTTTGTAACAGTTATCAAAAAGACAGCGAGGAACAAAAACACCCTACAAATTAAATTTACTTTTCTATTTAAAAAAAAAATTTAGTCAAGACAAAATTGTGCATAACAGAACATAACATTCTAGAATTTTGGTGCTGGAAGGGACTTCAGAACTTCTCTAGATCAATATATTCATTTTATTGGGTGAATATTGGGTGAAGAGATTTATCAAGGATTATCCAGCAATTTAGTTTCCAGCACATGAATTCTCTACTAATTTGCTATGAGCTTAGGAACCAAGCAACTAAGCTTATTTACATGTCTGAAGATAAATATAAACAGGCCATTACAGAGGTGGAGCAGACTCTTCTTTAAGCAGACAACATATGATTTGGAACCTGAACTTTTTTTTTTTTCCTATTGAAATATTTAGGAGCTTTTTTTTTAGCCTTACTTCCTGGTTCTTGGTTGGGTTCCCCATTCACTGAGGAGGTTGTCCAACAGAGGGGTTCTCAATAGGTGATGCATTAGTATAGTTAATTATATGCTAAGAGAAGAGGACTATCTTTGGCTTTATTACAAAATAACCTTCTAAGTTTATTTTTAGGAGCAATGTTCAATCAAATCATAAAATCACAGTCTATCATTCAAGCCTTTCAAAGAAAACAAATGACAGCAAGCTTACCTGCAGAGAAAGTAAAAAATACATAAGGCAGCTCACAGCTCCCCTCCTGTGATTACCAAAGGGGTGCAGGTGTTAAAGCAGAGGCTGCTCTGATCAGTAAATACAAAATGTTCCTGCTGCTACCCCGGCCTTCCCGTGGATACCTTGCTGTCCAGGAGAAGATTGTCTGGTTTGATGTCTCTGTGGATGAATCCAAGCTGATGAATGGAGTCTATGGCTAATACTGTTTCTGCTATATAAAATTGAGTCTCCTCTTCTGTCAGAGTGTCTTTTTTCATCAACAGGGTCATCATGTCCCCTGGAGACAAGAAGATACAAAGCCACCAGACACACACACACACACACAAAAAAAAAAACAAAAAAAACCCATGAGTAAGTGACAGTTTTCAGATGTCTTCACTATCTGCCAACATAAGACAGGGCTAAGCAGGCCCCTGCTGTGTTCCAGAGACTGACCCACACTGCCAATATGAAGGGAAATGGTAAGTGGTTTCTAACGCTTAAAAGGTAAAAATCCAAGCTCTAGGGAGCAAAGCGCTTTCTCCCACCTAAGCTGGCTGATGCTGACCACAGAGCTGTGATTTACTTGTGAGAGAAAAAGGAAATTTCCCTCATACCAAAAAAAAAATATATATATATATATACATACACATACATGTACATACATGTATATACAGGATATATATATGTGTGCAAGATTTGCTTTGGACTGGGGGGGAAAAACTGCTTTCCATTTTGTGCAAATACCTACAAACTTCTCTCTTCATAACTAGAACTAAATGGCATTTCCACATAAGTACCGTCATTGTTAGAGAGAGATGTTAAAATGTCAAACAAAAATGTAAACATTTTGGGGTTGCTGAAAACAAGCTCTTCAATTTCTATTTACAAAACACTAGAACACAAACACACACAAAAAAGGCAGGACATACGTAGCAAAGTGTTAGTCAACAAAAGCTAAAAATGAACTAAAAATGCTATATACTAGAATGTGTAATAGCTGCCTCCCAGGAGTGCACATTAAATATCTCCCAAGATCAGCATTCTTTTTCCTCCAGTATTTTATTATAAATATTTAAATGTGCACCAGAATGTTTTATACAACTTTTACAACACAGTAGCAGTTATTTAAACTTACACCCTTTAATTTTCTGCAAAGTCGAATTTTAGCTATTTCTTCTTAATACCAGCACATAAGATGGCAGAAAGAAGGTTCTGACCCCAACTCAACAGTTAAGACAAAAGTAAAAAAAAATATGTATAAGTAGTTTAAAGCTAAGGGAACAGAAAAGAGTCACAGTTTAGACCATATAAATCATAAAGGCCCTTATGTTAGAAAACGGGAAAAAGAGAAAAGAAACCTCAGATTTTAACAGAGCATCCCGCTACTTTTTGAATTTCATTTCATTTATAACTTTGGGAGAATTCTATATTCTTGGAGAAAAGTAGGTCTTTTTCCCTCAGGCAAAAATTAAACCGTTCATTAAAATGCTCTTTTTTGGCCCAAGACTTGAAAAATATGATTCTCTAATCACTCCTGGCAGCCACACATTCAACCCGGAGGCACAATGGGGAGTTGGGGGCAGTGTGCTCTGCCAGCTCTAACGAGCTGTGTGGCCTTAGCTCCACCACCCAGGAGAGCAGCCAATGGCCTCACCTGTGAGCGTGCCCTGATGATGAGAGAGCTGAGGCCAGCTGGTCTCTGGCTCTGCAGGCCAGCTCCACCAAGTGCAAGGGGCAGGGTCCAGAAGACATGAGGAGAAGCTATAGAAGGTGGTATAGGTAAGGCCTAAGGAGACACATGTCAAGGGGCTAGTGACCAAGCTGGCTCTTTCTCCTATTTAAGAAATGGCACCTAAATGTTAAAGGTTTCTCCTCACTCTACCAGCCAGACTCTTTTCTAACCTTCATCAATTGTTATTAAAAACTTCTTACGACCTTAAGTCTAAACTGAGGGTTAGCACAAGGCCAAAATATTATGCCACAATTCTATCTGCTTTGCTTTATTACCAAAAAGGAAAAAGTTGAATTTTCTTTCCCCCCCGCTTTCTTTGCGCAAAGTTTGACTGCTCGCTAGGAAATAGACTGTGTTCCCCAAGAACGGATGGTACATAATGTTCTGGGTTTACTTTGGAGCTTTCTTAGGAGATGCCCAAGCTGAGTTACATAAAACTTGAAATCTCAGAAATGAGAAATTGATTGTGGCTACTAATATAGACAATGAGAAATTCATTCCTTATTAATGTAAGTTATAGAAAAACAAAAAAAAGTTGACACAAAGAATGTTAAAGTTTCAATTTTGCCACCTGAGTAACTCATTATACGTGATTCCCACTGACAGGAGAGCAACAGAGCCTCCTAGTTTATTCCTATATGTTGAAAAATGAAATGTCCATCTGAAATCATGAGAGTGAATGAGAAGGTTACTGTTATGGCACTAAGACTGTAGAAAGGCACCTCAGCACAAGACACGTTACTGACCTCCTTTATAGACCTAAAAAAGATATAGAAAGCAACTTCGTGAGCACAATTAAAAGTAGAAAGGAGGGTTAATTATTGATGTGAGAGAGAAACCACAGAACAAGAAGAAAAAATGACCTTTCATCAGCAAGTAATTACCTCCAGGCAGGAACTCCATGATTAGGTAGAGGTTTAGCTTATCCTGAAAACTATAGAACATTTTCACAACCCACAAACTGTCTGCCTCCACTAGAATGTCACGCTCCGCACGAATGTGGCCAACCTGGAGGTATATGCATTTGATTAATGACAAGCCTTGCTCTGCTTTATTAGACTGTATATTTGTTTAAACAATTTAAGCACAGTTTTGAGTATTTAACTGTGAAGATGCAAATGAGATCTAATTTATGCTTAGGCAAACCTACTAACTCAAAACTAAAAACATTCGACTTGAAGATCTTCAGTGATGAAAACCTGAATGATAAAAGGCTACAAAAATTGCAAAATTAATGGCTTTAACACAAATGGCAACTTAACAGTCCTATAAATTGAACCTCTGATTAGCTAAAATTACCATTTTTCATATATTTTTTATTATAATAAACTTCTATGATGAAAATAAGTCCTCAAAATGAAATTCTCTAACAAAGTCCCATCTCAGGTCTGCAATGATAACTGCAATGACAGTGACCGAGCTGACAATTCTAGAAGATTATAATGCCACAGCATTTAGTTCACTGCTGTGCAGACTATGTCCTCAATCAATTCTCACTGAATTGAAATATAAGAGCACCAAAGAAAAGTTATAGGTACAAATTAATGATATTCCCAATTTTATACCTTTATTGAAATATCTAGCTCAGAAAATCAAGCTATAGAAGGTTTGGGGGAACTGGCAGAATTACTTAATTAAAAGTTTAAATACTTAATTAAAATAATGTTTTATAATAAAATTTACCACATTTACTTTAAATAAATAATAGTAATCAAAACATTGCTACATATTATCAAATCCTGTTCCCTACTCCCTTTTTTAAGTGTCACAAGATCCAAAGTTGGGTTGAATCAGGTCTAAATTTATCAGGACCCAGTACAAACCTTGAAGAGAGGTTTTAGTCTTAACATATGCTGCAAATCTTGAGTTTCACAGTATGTCCTGAGGTAAAAGATGTACCAAGGTTCACAAACAGGCACTTCTGCTGGCAAATTCAGCTCATGGTTGTGTTCTGTTTGATACAGTGTTGTGCGTGCTTGTTTGTTTTACTGGAACATTTTTTTGTGAAGCCAGGTACTCTTTCTGTTGGGACAAGGACCCCACCCCTCTCTCCTATCTTGCACCTAATCTGCCTCATCCTTCCATGCCAACTCCTGGGGGCTCGAGGCTTCTTAATGTGCATATTTGGGTTTTCAGCCTCTACTAAAATTGGTCTTTGGGGAATTTTTAATAGCTTCAATGTCGCAGAAAACTTACATCTCTACTTATGAGGGTGGGGAAAATGGAAGGTAAGGGTGGTAAGATAAGTGCTATGAAACCACCAGGAAGCAGAGTACAGCATCCGCCCTTACGGAGCCTTAATACAGAAGTGGAGCCTTTGGGAAACACTAGCTGCGGCTAGCTGGACTGCGGCCTAGGCTGTGACCTAGTCACTGCCGAATACTAAGGCTGCAGAAGGCTGGCCTCCGTGCACCTCGGCTTCCCCTGGCTCCCTTCAGGCTCTACCTACTTCAAGGAGCCAAAGAAAAGGGGAGGCACTACTACTGCCACTTGTCACTCACACTGGAGGACAGAATGGTGGCTGCAACATTCCCTGTTTTATCAATGGGGAAGCTACAGTCACTGTTGAGCACACCTTGCCCTACTCTCCTGGAGCTGAAACAGCAGCTAGGAACTTCAAAACCTAGGAATGGAGCCATGGGAGTATAGGGTAAGGGAGGGAGGAGCTAGAAGCACAACTCACACCAAAAGGTTCCCTCTCCCCTGTTCCATAAATATTTAATGAGGTGGGGGATTACATGCTGGTTGCTATCCCGGGCAATAGGAAAGTAAGATAAAAGCCAGTCTTTTGTTCTACAAAACTATACTGGCAACACAACCGGAGGTTTTGCTTTTACACTGGAGGAGAAACATTAAGAAACTGGCCAAATGCTGGTCTCTTATCCTTTAATATTTTATTTTCTAAGTAGCAGAAATTTCCACCCTGTGGGACAAAATAACAACCAGAACTCTCAGTGGGTAGCTTTAATTTCTGCTCAGTTAATTAAAAACAAACAAACAACTTTTCCTTTGGATAAAGCACCTATGCCTACAAAATCTTAGTATCTCTGAATCTAAACTTTGTCACCTCTATCCAAAAATAAGGATGGATCTGTACTGATCTACTTCCAATTCCCACATAGCACAAACCCACAGCATGCTTCTTCAAGATGGCCAACCCAGGTAAAGTTTGTGGCCGGAGACTTTAAATGGATCATACTGAGATCAAACCTAGGGACCTGTGTCCATAAGCAAGATGAGCTAAACAATTAAGTCAGTGCATCATTTAAAATCCTAATTCTAAAGATTATTTCCTTTACTTTCATTTGGAAATTGCTTTTGAGGAAGGCACAATATTTGAGAAAATGTTTTTATACGATATGTTTGAATCATCCTCTCTGTTACCATACCAGGCACCTGGCATGTGCTACACAGAATAAATAACTCCGCAGATCATGATGTGTGCTTCTCTTCACAACTGTATTCTATATGTTAATTATTTGATAAAGAGGGGTTTTGAATCTTGGTTAAAAGTTGCAGGAAATATGTCTTGTAAAAATAAAACTTACAAATATAAAATGAAACAAAACTTGCAAATATACTGACTATTCTATACAGAAGCTTTACATTTTCCTTCTCAAGATTAAATGAAACTCTTTCAGTAACTACACACCCATACCACACACTAAATTTTAGATAATATATAAATAGGGCTGTTGTGCATTTTGAGTAAGTTTGGTGTTGGCATAAACTATAGTGTCTAAAGATTTACTGCTGGGGTATTTTGTACTCTAAATCGAAATTCTTGGGAGTCTAAAGCTTCTGGGCAACACATGAAAATTAGAGAGAAAATAAAAATTCCAAACTTTGAGGTAGCACTTAAATGAGGGCAGAGAAGACTCAGAGATTATACTTCCTCTCTAGAGGCAGAAAGTACTGGGTGCAGGCCCAGTCTCCACCCCTGCTCTTGGGCTCTGTATCAGGTGCTCTCCTTCCCAGGGGGGTTTTCTTGCCCTCCTGCAGCACCTGACCCTCTATAGGACATCTACTGTCATCATCAATGCAGTCTGTTCTTAAGCAGCCAGCTAAATTAAATTAGATTTATAGAAAACCTGCACCCTTCCTTTTTTTTTAACATATGGTCTAATATTTAAAATCTTATTTATTTTACATAAGTACTTATCTTCTCATAAATCTATTTGCCATATGGGTTTGGGTTTTAGAAAGTGTTCTAATCATTAAAAGAGAATTTGCACTACTCTGCCGTTTGCATTATATTTTTCAAATTCATTCAGAAACTGGAAGACTGGTCTCTCTTAGATAGTACTGAGCTACCTGGAAAACCCAACTTTGGTTTGGTTTACAGGATAAAACATATTAAGGCACATTTTAGATGGTAAATCCCAAATTCTAATTCCTAGGCCCCAGTCCCAATTTCTCTCTCTCAACATTCAATAAAGAACATGCTACCACAGTAAGTGTGACCTCTAAAAAAGCTCTTTTTGACAAGAACATCTCATGATCAAGTGGGTGACACAAACAACAGATGCTTCTCTAACAGGCTGCCAACTTTAAGAAGACTGTACATAACATAGAGGCATTATTTGTACTTTTAAAACACATGTAACTGCTTCTTTGGTGGGGGAAAAAAGTAGTATTAAATATATAGTCGTACATGAGAGTTAAAGAAAACTAGTAAGACTAAATTTTAATTAAACAAAAAAAAACCATTTTAGGAGACAAAAAAACTCATAACTTGACTAGAAGCACTGCTACAGTTGGGCTTTACCTGCTCTTTTTCAAGCATATCTGCTTTACGGAGTATTTTCATTGCATACACATGCCCTGTATCTTTCTTCTGAACAAGCCGCACCTAAAAGTTATTAAAAAAAAGAAAAAAGAAAAAGCCAAGTCAAAAGTTTACACTGCCATGCTAATGCTTTCAAGTGTTACAGCAAATAATGTTTAAACTGAAAAAGTGTTACAATTTTAATATAAGCAACCAGCAAGAACAAAGCAGGAAAAAAATGCCTTTCAATGTTGCAAAGTGAATACATTACACACAGCAAAGTCAATGCTAGAAATATCTTCAAATATTTCCACATCCGAACAGTTTTGGTCCCTATCTGGGCAAACCAATCTAATTAAAAATCTTCAGTTTGAATGTAAGGACTCATTAAACCTCTGGCACACTCATTCAATCAGGTTAGAAAAAAGTAAATGATTACAACAACATTTAAAACAAAAGCAAAAGCTCACACATAGGAAAAATATCTGGAAGGAAAAAAACCTAAAATATGTAATTAGGGAAATGTAGTATGTATGTGTATAATGTATAATTTGGGATATGCCATTTTCCTTTCTGTTTTTTATGTTCCAATATGTTTAAATAGATGATTTAATGATGAAAGCCCCTATACATCCTGCCCTCCTCTCCTAAGATACACATGTAGTCTTCTCCTTGCACAACCTGTCTTCATGTTTTCCCATAAGTCCCACAACGCCCTTCCCCACTGAATGAACAAAAGCTCTCTGAGAGGTGGTACTGTTCCTTTCCCTCTCTCTCAAGGGGCCAACCCAAGGATTCTGAACACTGGGATCAATTTAATCTTTCACCTGTGCCTTTGAATATGTACTCACATTTTCCCTGGGTACTAGTTTTTAATAATATGCTGCTCCTTTTATACAAAGATAATGCAACTATTGCATCAGTAGCTCCTTCAGTTTGGGAGTATTCCCTTAATGGGAATGACCGCACATGGGCTCATTCAAACCCTCCCCAACAGATTGCTCTTGTGATCAAGCAGGATGCATCTGCAAGACTAGCTCAGACAAAGGTGCAAATGCTTTCAACTCTCTACCATTACCTATACAACTCCATTCTATAAATTCTGTCACCTAGGGCCATCTTTTTAGAGCTGTGCCAATCTGGTGGGAAGAAATAAAGGATGGAGATATGCTGGTTTGTTCATGGAGAGGCAGTGTGGCACTGGAAAAGCAGGGCTTTAAGTTCAGGAAGACCTGGGCCCAACTCCTGGACTCACTGCTCAGTAGCTCTGTGACACAGGGACATTATACAGCCTCTCTAAGCGTTAATTTGATCATTTATAAAATAGATTATTGTCAGGATTATAGGAGAGAGGCACTCAGTAAATAATAAATGTTGGTTTTCTTCTACCTTTCACCTCTCCCTCTAAATCAATACTTACAAGCACCAACATTATCTCTGGCAAAACAGAGACAAGCAATCAGAGATCTGGGACAGTGGAAAGGGAAGAGAGAAGGACAGAAAGAGCAGTCAGGATGTGGGGCTGACATACCTGATCCGCCTAACCCCCTTATTTTCAGCTATATCAACAACATGAGCTTACGGTATGTTAGAAGCTTCAAAGTTCTGAGGTATTTTTGCATCTGATAAGTAGAACTGGTGGTTTTTACCTCACCAAATGCTCCTCTGCCTATTACTTTTAAGGACTCAAAATCTTCTAATCCAAGTCTTGTTCTTTTCAAACGAAGAAATTCTGTTTCCTTCCGAGCATGTGCTGATCTCCTGAGTTGTTTCTAAATGTTTAAATAAGGAAGGAAGGGAGGAGGAGTTGAAATTCTGAAACTCTGTAACAAAGTCATATTATAATTTGACCCAGCCAGAAAGCAGGGTCACACTCCATTAGGCATAATAATCCTTTCACCCATGAAAGCACCACAAAACCAAAAAAACCAAACCCGTTGCCGTCGAGTCGATTCCGACTCACAGCGACCCTACAGGACAGAGTAGAACAGTCCCATAGGGTTTCCAAGGAGCAGCTGGTACACTCAAACTGCGGACCTTTTGGTTAGCAGCTGAGCTCTTAACCACTGTACCACCAGGACTCTGAAGAGGTCACTCCCCCTCTCCTTGGCCTTCAGATGCAATAACCAAGCCTGAACAGATGGGGGCCTCCTCTGAGGATTCTGACTGACCTACTTCAGTAATCCTTTAACTTTTCTACTGAAGGAGGATAAACAATCAACATTTTCCTTTAACCTTTTCTATATAAAATAAAGTATGATTTCCTATTTCCCTTTGAGTCTTTTACACATTTCAATTCATTTTATGCTCTAACTTTCTATTATTCCCACAAATTCTGGGTATTTTTCACCATCTACCTGGGTTCTTTGATTCATCCTATTTTTGAGGGCATTGCCACTGCCATTTCAGCTCCTTACACAGTCCCTTGTTAACTATATTTTCTCCTACCACATCTGTGGGCACTGGGAGGAAGGGGTGATTTCAGATGGATACGTTGCCTTGATGCCGATTTCAGAAATTTCATTCAGAAATTTGCCCCACTTCTCATGGAGTCTTTTCAGTGAGTTCTGGAAGTATGCTACAAATTTTCCCTTTTAAATTTCAATTTGATTTCACTAATTTCATCCTCCCCCACCCCTCGCCTTTTTTTACTCTCCTTAAAATTCTAAATCTCATTAACTTATTATAACTATGCCCAGAGAAGTATTCCACTCCTGGATAGTTAATAATTAACTTCTCCCTCTGCATAAGTACTTAAATCCAGAAGCGAGCCAGCGGTCATAAATTCCTCTATCACAAAGCCTTCGCCTGTGCACCAAGGCTAACAACTTACTGGGCAAGATATGACCTGCCATGCTGGGTTTCAAGGGGAAAATTCCAGTATTAATTACCTCTTCATCTTTTAAGCCTTCTTCTTCCATCACTTTTTCTAACTTCTTTTGTCTATAAAAAGACACGTGGAATAACACTTGAATGATAACTTTCTGAAAATTCTATATAAGTATTGTATGCAATTGTTTTTTGAAAAATGATAAAAATTGGTGAATCTCAAAATGTTTCATTACAACAAAAAATTACAATTACTAAGACAAGTGAAAAGATTTCCATCCTTTGTTTTGTATTTTGAAAAAGATTATATAAAATGTTAATGCAATAAATAATATTGCTTCAAAATGGAAAGTTCTCTCTCCCTCCCTTTTTTCATTTTTTTTTTTTTCACAGAATTTCCTCCTTACCAAACCACAAAACAGCTGGTATTTGATAACCTCTTATATAGAGTATTACCTCTCCCTCTCTCTGGTTGAAATCTACTTCCTTTATTTGCACACCTTCCTCCTCCTGCTTGCCGCAAGCAAAGAGCAATAAACAACAAAGATAGAGGCAGAATTTGGAGATTCAAGGGGGAATAAATGATCAAAAAAGGTGACTGGCACCACTATCAAAACTTAAAGACTCCAAGTCCTTGGAGTAGACAGCTTTAGTTTAACAAACTTCATCCAAGAATAAATTTGATCTACAGTCTCATACTGATTTAACTAAAAGAAACAAGTAAAACTTCATTACAACCAACTCCACAGGACTTTCAAGTATTCAGTGTAATACCAATCAAAGTGCATGGGCTGGAATCTCCCCTTCACCACTTAACCAGCGTTCCAGATAAAGAGAACAACGTGAGCAAGCCAGGGAAGACTAAAGCCTGTGAAATGCTGAAGTAACAGCTTGTGGCTGCGGCACACAGCAGGCAGGTTAGAATAGCTCCGAACTATAAAGGACTTCGGAAGCCATACCAAGAATGTTAAATCTTATTCCGTAGACAACTGACAGCTAATGTAAGCTTGTGTGCAAAGGAGTGACGTGATAAGATTTCTATTTTAGAATGACAACCAGCAGTAATGAGGATCTGATGGACTGGCAGGGAAGGCAACTGAGAAAGACCTGAAGTCAAATGAAAGTTACTGTAACGATTCAGATGTACAGCAAAGATCTGGGACTAAGGTTAGAAAACTGGAATGAAGTCAACGGAGCCACTGCAAAGATGACCAAATAGCAGTAGATGTCAAGGGAAAGAATTTCTCATCTAGGTAGATAATGCTGGCAGTAACCAAGACAGGAAACACAGAGAGAGGAACATGGGAAAATAATGAGTTTCACTTTGGTCACTGAATTTCATTGAAATAATGTTGTTGCTGTTCTTAAGTGTCAATGAGTCAATTTCGACCCATAATGACCCCACATTACAGAGTAGAACTGCCTGACAGAGTTGTCTAGGCTACAATCTTTACAGGAGCAGATCACCAGGTCTTTCTCCTACGGAGCAGCTGAGTGGATATGAACCACCATCCTTTTGGTTAGCAGCCAAGTGCTTAACTGTTGTACCACCAAAAACTCATTGCCGTTGAGTCTATTCCAATTCATACCAACCCTATAAAACAGAGGAGAACTGCCCCAGGGTTTCCAAGGAGTGACTGGTGGATTCAAACTGCCAATCTTTTGGTTAGCAGCCGAGCTCCTTATTACAATAATAGTATTTAGTTAAAACAAATACATTGTATAGAAATCATATCACAAATCTATAAGATCAGACAAATAATAAGAATTTGTGTTCAAACTCTCAAGAAATGAAAAGAACTACCCTGATTCTGATGGAAAGAAGAAAGCACCTACATGGCTCCCAGTGTTCCTGCTTTTCTCCTTAATAGTTCTAAGAATACTTTGGAATATGCATCTATGCGAGCACATGTATTGGAGGGAGAGGGCTGCACTGGTAGTTTCAGGAGTTTACATTAATTCCCTTTCAGTGATTAGGATAGCTGAATTAGGGAAGAGCCAGAAGAGTGAAAGCATAACATCATGGCAAGAACTAGTACAAAGAACTAAACTATGGTCAGCTCTTTTTGTACCTTCAGTCTCAAACACTGTCATACTTTCTGACTACTTCTTTGAACGACCACACCAGGCTGGGCGAGAAGTCCATTGTGCTACAGAGATGGCTCATTCTGACTATATTTTAAATCTAAATAGAGAAGTTTCCCACTGCATTACTGCAGGTGTAATTAAGTTAGTTTCCACAGAACACTTGTCTAGGAGTGCAGTTATCAGAATTAACTTCTTTTTGAACACAATCAGATTCTTTCATTAGAGAAAACATCCAGGAAAAAACCTATCATGCACGCAAAAAACCCAAATAAGAAATGAAATGAGCAACATTACAACAGACTCAACTGAAATAAAAAGGATCATAACAGAATATTATGAAAAACTATACTCCAGCAAATTTGAAAATCTAGAGGAAATGGATAAATTTCTAGAAACACACTACGTACCCAAACTACAACAAAGTGATGTTGAAAATCTGAACAGACCCAAAACAAGAAAAGAGATTGAAAAAGTAATAAAAAAGCTCCCAGCAAAAAAAAGCCCTGGCCCATATGGCTTCACTGGAGAATTCTACAAAACATTCAGAGAAGAGCTTGTACCAGTACTACTCAAGCTATTTCAGAGCATAGAAAAGGAAGCAACACTTCCGAACTGATTCTATGAAGCCAGCATAACCCTAATAT